TTTTTTGTTTGTTTGTTTGAGACAGGGTCTCCCTGTAGACTCAGATGGTCTGGAACTCTGTGTAGACCAGGCTGGCTTCGATCTTACAGAGATCCCTGTGTCTGCCTCTTGAGTGCTGGTGTGAAAGTCCTTTTTGTGAGTTTATCTTACTTTTACCAGTAGAATACTGTTCAGTGTGTTTTTCAGCACAGGGTTATTTGTCACACACTTTCTTCATTGCTATTTATCTGAAGTTATCTTTCTCTTTCTATTCTCTGTAGATTATTTTCTACACATGTAGAAGTTTAAGATGGCAATTTTTCTTTCAACACTTTAATGTTGCTATTCTATTGTATGCTGCTGTATTTTGTTTTTGTCATAAACCAGCTGCAGTGTTATTGGCAGTCCTATGAAGGTGATGCATTTTTTTCTTTGGATTGCATTTGAGATGCTTTCTTTGACATTGGCATTTGGAAGTTTCAGTATGATGTGCTGTGGTTTGCTTCTCTTTGTATTCACCCCGATAGTCCTGTCGATTACTGCATCTCTGGATGTATGTCTTTTTCAGCTTTAACCGGTCACCAGCCATTATTTCTTAAAATCCTGGTCCTCTTTGTCTTTCCTTCTCATGTTTGCACTCAGTACACCCATAAGACCTCTTCCCTAGGGCTGGGAATCTTAATATACTTAAAAAATATAATCTCTCTCTTGCTTCAAGTTTATAGTGCACTTACTAAATGTCCCATCTGATTTCGAGTGCAGCTATTACATTCTTAATTTTATTTGTATTTTTCAATTCTAGATTTTCATTTGAAACTTTCTACATGGCAGTTCCCTTCTGAAATTCTGTTTATCTTGTAGTTTTGAACATGTTCATCATGATTGTTTTATTTGATTTTGCTATATTTTTACCTGAGATCAGATCCTCCTGAAATGCCCAGGCTGTAGTTCTTGGGCTCAAGCAATCCTCCTACCTCAGCCTTCTAAGCATCTGAAGCTGCAGGTTACAGGTGTGCCCTGTGATGTCCAGCAAGGTTAAATTCAGTGCTAATAATTCTAGTAACTGAGTTACCTCATGAGTTTCTAACCCCCTCTTCCCACTTTTCCTTTTCTCCTCTGTCTACCTTGTTTTGTTTTCTGGCTCGCCCTCGATTGGACCATCTACTTTTGCATGTGCCTGCCAGCCATCAGAGTTTGCAGATGCCATCATTGCATGGAGAGGAGCTTCTCCCTCTTCCTCAGCAGGTCATCTTTCAGCTCTGAAGCACTGCTGGATGCCCTGCTTCACTTTCTCAGTTTCTTTTGAAAATACTTTTTTTTCTTTTTGAGACAGGGTCTCCCTGTAGCCACAGCTGGTCTGGAACTCACTATGTAGACCAGACTGGCCTCGAACTCATAGAGATCCACCTGCCTCTGCATCCTTAGTGCTGGGATTAAAGGCATGCACCACCACATCTGCCTTTTTGAGTTTTTTTTTTTTTAACTTACTGTCTCATGCTGTCTCATATAGTTAACATGCTAATATCTTTGATTGGACAAAAATTCTAAAGGGGGAAAGTGAGGCAGAACAGAATATTTATGAGTTGTCCTGGATGTACCATTAGCCCCAAGTCTAGCATTTGGTGTCTAGCTATGAGAAGCTGCTAAAAGCTTGACATATTCTGTCCTTCTACACCACTAGGTCTTTCTCTGCTTTTCAGCCTCTCTCTTGATGCCAACTGTGAACCCCAAATACCACAAAGGCAAGAAGTTCCAAGAGAATGCGGAGTTCCTCTCATTGCATGGCCCGCTTTCCAGGGGCCAGTCTCCTATCAGCACTGCTCTGTAACTCTGTGCTCCTTAGAATGGCCTTAAAGAAACCATCTAGCTTTTCCAGTGAATTTGGTAGGAGTTGGTCAGATCCAAAATCATAGTCAGAAACTGAAGTCCTTGAATACCTTTAATCTGCATGTTGATTAATATGTTCTCCTAAGACATCCAGGTCATTACTTCTTTATAGTAAGTGAATGCTTTAAATTTTTTTTTTTGTTAAAATTACCTTTTGCTTTATTAGAAGTATTTCAAAGTTTGTTGACAAATCTATTAGTGGTCTTCTTTAAGACTTCAATGCTTCAATGCTTAAAAGTAGTTTTTTTACCCTCCTAATTCATACATTTTCTCATCTTACCTTTGGTTTCTTTTCATGTAAATTTAATCAAAACATTTATCTTAATATAAGATTTTTGCATGGAAAGTTTTGGAATTCTCTCCCCCCCAACTATTTAACAATCCTTTGTTGAATACGTCATTCTACCCTACTTACTGATTTGAAATTCTACTTTTTTGCAGATAGAAAGCTGTAATGTATAGTCTGTTTCTTTTCTGAACTCTGATCTGAATATGATTATACCCACCATTTTCTTTTTTAAAAAATTATTTTTATTTTATGAATGTATGTGGTGTCCATGGAAGACAGAAGAGGGCATTAGATTTCCTGGAACTGGATTTAGAAATGATTTTCAACTGCTGACTGTGGATGCTGAGAACTGAACCTGTATCCTCTGCAAGAGCACTCAGTGTTGTTAACTGCTGAGCCATCTCCTCAACCCCTAATTTTCTGTTTTAATGACTGAACTTTAGTAATTCGTCTTATTATACAACAGTTCACAGTTTGAACAACTTCTCATTTTGTTCCTTTTATCTTGACTGTTCACATCAGGTTAACTTTGTGGTCAGAGAGCTGATGAAAATCTGGGCTTAGGTGATAGTAATGGCAGCTCAGGGCGAGGTCAGGGGAGCAGCCTTGAGGATTGTCACTCACTGAGAGTGAAGGGTTTGGAGACTGGCAAAACCATGGGTTTGCATATGACATTAAGCCTTCTGACTTGGCACACTAAGAAAGTGGTGATGTCATTAATTATGATTGAGAATACAGAAGTAGATTTTGAAAGAAAGGGAGGGTCTTATGTGTGAAGAGTAGAAGCAGGGCTAGCACAAGCAAGAGCAAAAGTCTAATGATATTATGAAATCTTACTGGCTTTGGGTAGGACAGAAACTTGAGCTGGAAGTTAAAAAAAAAAAAAATCAAGTTTAAGGATGGGCCTGGTGGTGCACACCTTTAATTCCAGCATTTGGGAAGCAGAGTTCAAGCCCAGCCTGGTCTACATAGTGAGTTACAGACCAACTGGGGCTACAGGGAGATCCTGCTTAAAAAAAAAAAAAAAAAAAAAAAAAATCAAGTTGAATCCAGTATTGATTATATGCCAAATAAAATGTGTTGTGGTACCAATTCTAACAAATGTGTAATTTTTAAGAAACTTAAGATAGCCCTTTCCATATTTTTAAAACCATGTGAAATATGTTACTAGGTTGTAAATAGTGTTTACAGTCAGTTGAAGAACTTAGACTACTTATATGAGAAAGGGATAGAAGACAGATACATCATGCTTTGGAGATTTGGGGAACAAAAACATTTCAAGTGAGGAAGTAGAAGCTATTGGCAAGAAAACCTGTTGATAAAAGCTACCATAAACCATATTTTTATTTTTATACAAAAAGAATGAGAGCTAGGTGAATTATCACAAGGACCAAATATGATTATGAATACCAGACAGAGTTTGCTAAGCTCTATGTCCAGACCAGTGGGGCAGCTTCTTGGTATATTTCAACTGTACCTACTTCAACCAGTCTTCCTTTATTTACTTTTGGTGGTGCGCACCCTTAATCCCAGCTCTCGGGAGGCAGAGGCAGAGGCAGGTGGATCTCTATGAGTTCAAGGCCAGCCTGGTCTACATAGTGAGTTCTAGGACAGCTGGGGCTACAGAGAGACCCTGTCTCAAAAAGACCAAAAAAAAAACAAAAAAAAAAACAAAAAAAAAAACAAAAAAAAAAACAAAAAAAAAAACAAAAAAAAAAACAAAAAAAAAAACAAAAAACAAAACAAAACAAAAAAAACCTAGGAAATATCACTTTGAATTGTATGCTTAGCTCTACAATACTGTTTGAGCTAAATTCAATGACTAGAGAGCAGGAGAATTTTTAAAAATTGGTTTTAGCTGGTTGTGGTGGTTTATACCTGCAATCCCAGCACAGAGACCAGAGGACTGGCATGAGTTTGAGGCCAGTCTGGTCTACACAGTGAAATCCTGCCCTAAAACCAAATGACAAAGCAAATAAACAAAAACATTGATTTTTGAAAATTGATTTCATGAAGCTTCTCTTATTTCCTTTGGTTTGGGGCATTTTCAAATCCAAGTTTGGACCAAAAGAATAGAATTATAGAATTTGGAATTTGGAACTACGATTTCTTTTAATTCCTTTTTTCTTTTTGAAATTTTATCTACATTTGACAAATGTGTTCTGAAGAAGAAAAGTCTGAAGTTTTCCTGTGAGTCAAAAGTAGGGCTAAACTCAGGAATCCCATTTCCTAACTACTGATCCAAATATTTTCTACTCCAAGCAGAGATCGGAAAGTTCCTATCAACGTAGTGTATCAATTCTGGTATCACTTTGAATATGGCATCCCTCCTCCCCCCTCCTTTAAGATTCAGCAAAAATTTTAATATGGAAGGATAAAAAGTGGTTTCAATACTCCCTCCAGAGTATCAGACTTCTAAAAACAGCTGACACAAAGCACTTTTGTAACCAAGTTTAATATAAAAGCACTAAGAGTATGCAAATAAAGCATAAAGCCAAACTTAAACTGAGAGGAATGAATTGATGTGTGCCATTTTAAGGTTAAGACTTCACTCCTGCATTCCAGCCCAGTTCTGTGGACAAGCTGCAGGAAACTCGAATTCCTAACAGTCTTGCCATTTCTGGGGGTGCGCAAGAGCCAGCACCTTGCTGATCTCCTTTATTTTGCGTAGTGTCTGATTAGAAAAACTCACCCCACCCCCACTACGTTCTACTTCAGTGCAAAAGGAAATGAAGCCACAAGGAGAACACAAAGATCTTTACCACCTTTTGCCTCCTGCCTGCTCTTCCTTTCCTCACTGTCTTCCCCTCATATAGCTGTTCCTACTGTGTGTGGCTTCAGTGAGAACTTCCGTCTGCCGCGGGGAAAGACTTTGCACAAGACAGCCACTCAGGATAGTACCTCCCCACTTAGAGCTGCTCTACCCTGATTTGGCTCCCTGTGATGTCCTGCCTGGCTGCAGGAAGAATTATGAGCAAGGACAGCAACTGCAGACAACTAACTTTCAGAAGTCACAAGTTTTTATAAAGAACAGGTCTATAAAGGATCCAAGCCAGAACAATGGCTTTATCTCTGGAAGAATTTGTCCGCTCCCTTGATCTCAGGACCCTCCCCAGGGTCCTAGAAGTCCAGTCAGGCATCTACTTTGAAGGTGAGTATTTCTCTAGTTCTTTAATTTGCTAGAGAGCTCTTATAATAAATATACGAAGGGCTGGGGCTATAACTCTGTGTCGGTGCACTTGGGCTCAATCCTCAGCATATACACAAACAAAATTATGAGTTCTGTAAAGGAAAGGTGAGCACAAAAAAAGAGAAAGTGATTACTGCTGCGTAGTTAAGACTCAGCAGTGTTGAAGAAGGAGCGATGAAGGGCTCTAGGTGGATGGGGATGAGGAACTCCGAATCTTCTTGAGCTTTCCATAGGCATTCAAAAAAATCAACACAAATGATTTATTCTGCCTGTACTTAGAAATTGGTTGAAATCAAGTGAAAAGTTTAAAATTATTCATAACTATGTTTGGATTATTTAAAAAAAAATTTTTCCCCAAATTAATGCAACTATAAAAAGCACAGAGCCTAGAGGGAAACCTCTTAGCCCTTTTGAAGCGTGGCTTGCTTATAACCTTTTCTCACTCTTTCCATAGAGGCCTAACTCCTAATTCCTTAAGCAGTGGCAACTTTCATTTGAAGATACAGAAATCAATGCTTATTGACTACAAAATACCTTAAATATATGTTGAAAAGCCAAAGTTTAATGAAAATTATTTAATACTAAGCTGATCAATTTGGGTGTAATTACTATGTAGTCTGTTCATTTACATAGAAGATCATTGAGATTTCTTAATATATAGTCTAACATTTTTAAGTATTTTGTTTGAATATATAGAAGGCACAAAAATCATTCTCTAGGTAAATAACTATTTCATTGTTAATGCAAACAAAGAATTAGGTTTAATCAAACTACTGGAAAATAAGGAATTGATGGTGGGCAGACCTTTCCCACTCATGAGTCCCTGGTTTCCCATGGTTAGACTTCTAATTGTCTGACTTTTGGATGTAGTGAAGATATACAGCCATTCAGATTCTTCTGTTTTCAATAGAGTAGTCAATGTATTATAAGAGATTGTAGACATTTGGTTAAAAAAGTTATTTTATTAGATTATTTTACTTGACTGTAGACTAATATATGCGTTCTGAGCATGGGTAGGGTAGATTGGATTAAGGTATGAAAATTAGTAGTTTATGTGTATTCAAATGCTTGGAATTTGTGCTGTTTGCAAACTACAAATTTGTGCTGTTTGGGCTTATTAGGATGTAACCCTATCATAAGTTAAGGAGTATCTATAGGTCTTATGAAATAAGAAAGATTGACACATACATGAACACCAGTTTACCTTCCACATCCCTCCAAGTTATGGGTTGGTACCATTTGCCATCAGAGTATTATAAGATTTTACTTAATCTCTTTGCAACTTGATTATTCGGAATCAGACCATCTTTTATCATGTCTGTCATGCTAAAATTAATATTTTAAGTCAGCTATACATCGTTTGTTGTCTCATGGTTTATGCTTTTATGGCTCTGTGTAAGAAGCCTTTCTACACTCTAACAAGTTATTTTATATCAACTTTATAGTTTTATATTTTACAAGTGGTTTTTAGTTTTTTTGGAAGATGCATTGTTATGAGAGGCACAGGAATACAATTTTACTTTTTTGCATACCATAAACTTTATTTCCAGCTCCATTTCTGTATCTTCACATCATGTTATATGCTCACATATGTACCGTCAGTCTTTGGACTATCTCTTTTGCTCCCTTGGTTGATTTATTAAATTATCTGTGCCCAATCACACAGTTTTCGAAATGGTGGCTTTGAAGTAAGTGTTAATATATGTAACATATGTTTAATGTCCAGATGACTCTCTTGTTTCATTCCATTTTTTGAAATTGACTTAACTGTTCACAGACTTTAAAAAAATAGCAATTGATTCCATAAGACATCCAATGAAGATTATTATGTTTTTTGGATTGTATTGATTTTATATACTAACTTGAGGAGAAATTACAATTTTTTATTGTTTTATTAAAGAAACCTGTCTAGATCATCTTCATTATTTATTATTTTACTTCTTATAAGTTCAACAAAAAACAAACTTTCACACAGTAGGCACATTCATGTAACCATCACCTTGACTGAGAACTAGAAAGCTACAAATATTCTAGTAGCTTCCTTCTATGCTCCTCTTCAATTGCTATCTACCTTCTTCTCCAAATTAGTCACTGCAATGACTTTCTACTTATGGACTTTATGTAAAATGAAAATTATAGCATGTATTCTGCTGGTTGACATACATGTGTTACATGTATTTGTAAAATTAATCTATACTAGTCCATACAGTTCATTTGTTTTTGGTGTATAATAGTTTTCTCTTTTATTTGAAGTCTCTCTCTCTCTCTCTCTCTCTCTCTCTCTCTCTCTCTCTCTCTTTCTTTCTTTCTTTCTTTCTTTCTTTCTTTCTTTTTTTTTCTTTTGTCCTGGGGATTGAAACTAGGGCCTTGTGCATGCTAGGCAAGTGCTCTAACAGTGCACTATAGACCTAGCTCCCCTTTTTATTTTGAAGTAGGTTCTCACTAAATTCCACAGGCTGCCTTTGAATTCTGCACCACAGGTATGCTTTCAGTTTGTGATTCTCCTGCCTCAGCCTACTGATACCAGCATTTATGGATGTGGGCAACCCATCTCAACAGTGTGTAATAATATTGTATTAGATGAATGTACCAAAATTTGCTTAGCCATTTTACTGCTGGTGTCATTTGGATTATTGCTAGTTTACACCCACCAGTAACGGGTTTTTAATTTTTTTTTTTTTTTTTTTTTTTTTTTTTTACAAATTTTTGTTTGTTTGGGACAGGGTCTCCTTGTAGCCCCAGGTTGCCTGAAACTCACTCTGAAGATCAGGCCAGCCTCAATCTCACAGAGATGGGTTTGCCACTGCCTTCTGAGTGCTGGGATTAAAGGCATGTGCCACCACACCTAGCCCCACCAGTAGTGTTTTAATCGTGAAATAGTTATACATGCATGCTCACACGAATATGCATTCAGTTGGGTATAAAAACAAGTGGAATTGCTATGTCAAATAGTATGCATATATTCAGGCCTAGTAAGTAAGGAAGACAAGTTCCCTAAGAAGTTGCTCCAATTTGCATTCCCATCAGCGGTCTGTTAGAGTTCCTGTTAATCCAACTGATAAAATTTACTGTAATTAGCTGTCTTAATTTTAGTCATTCTTGTAAGAACACAGTGTGGAGTTCATGATTTAGACTCACATCTCCCTTATATCTAATGACATCGAGTATCTTTTCTAATTTGTCATGTTTGGAGATTGTATTTAGGATATTGTTTCTATGTCTTCCTCATTTATATATTACATTTTATAAATTTTTATTACCGGCTTGATGAAATACATATAAAAATGAAGGCCTCTTTCCTTTCTAAATGTATAGCATAGCATTTCATTTCATTTTCTTAAGAGCATCCTTTCTTGGAGGCTGGAAATCTGGCTCGGTGGTTAAGAACACTGACTACACTTGCAGGGGACTCGGGTTCTTCCCAGCACCCACATGGAGCTAACAACCATCCTTAATGCCAGTTCTAGCAGATTCAGTGCTCTCTTCTGGCTTCCACGAACATTGCACGCACATGGCACACTCATATACATGCAGACAAAACACTCATATATATAAAATAAAAAGAAATAAAATACAAGTCTTTTAGAGAGTATGAAAACTTTTAATTTTACTCTTACTCTGCTCCAATTACAGTTAATTATACTTTTGTATATTGTCAGGGAAGTTTTTCTTCACCCCAAGTTGATGAAAAGATTGTGTTATCCTCTAGAAATATTTTTGCACTTAGTTTTGCTATTTTTTTTTTTTTCACTTCTGCCTCCATTCTGTTCTCTACCTGGAATCGATGTTGTTTTTTTGTCTGTGGTTTGAAGTGAGGGCCAAGATAGGTATTTTTCTTCTTGACAGCCAATTGGTTCAGTGTCGTTGAAAAAATGTTTTTTGCTAATGCTTTATGGTGTCCCCTTAGTCATAAACACTGAATATCAGGTCTCAGTCTCTTCCAGCAGCTTTTGTACTATTCTAGTCATGGGAGTGTTTCTGTTTTCTCATGCATGTATGCAACATTATGAAACGTTTACCTTATATTCTGTGTAAGAACCTGCTTCAGAGCCCTAGACCTTAAACTTCATTGCACAATTGACATGTTTTTATGATTATCAGTGTCTGGGTGTCTCTTTAATTAAAGATTCTATCATGTAAAAGACAAGGTTTCACTAGCAGGCTCCTGGATTCTGCCCCTCATGACTATAAAATGAAGCCAAACTTGAGAACTACTGCTTTGGAATACACTTTTCAATTTATTATTCTCTTTCAAGTTGGGCTCTTTGAATTTTCACATACATTTTAGAATTAGCTTGTCAACCTCCACAAAGCCCTCCCTGAATTCTGATTAGCAGTATATCAGTTTGAAGAAAATGAACATCATTTTAAATTAAGTCTTCTGATCTCTGAACTGGGTGAAACTCTTGAGTTATGGCTCTCTTCTTTCTGTTTTAGGTCAGTAGTGTTTATGATTTTTCTATGGACATCTCAAATGTTTTCACATTTATTCTGAGTGATTATTTTTTTTTACACCGTTATATTAATATGTGGCAACTTAGGCAAAGGAGGTAGCTCATGCCTATAATCCCAACACTTGGGAGACTGAGGCTGAGAGTCTGACATCATTCTGAACTATACAGTGAATTTCATGCTAGCTTAGAGTACAGAAAGGGAACATATCTCAAACAAAACTAAACCACTCTAAACCAAACCAAACCAGGGCATTCTTCATTTTAGTTTTTCTTTGTTGAGTTGGCTGAATTTTAAGAAGATTTTTCTTTAATATGTGTATCTTTAGATTATCTTTGATTTTTTTAGATGTCTGTGAATTTTTAGGGATTTGATTTCTTCTTTCCATGCCTGCAGTTTTATTTTTTCCACTGAAACACTGGCTACTGTATCTAGTGGAGTATCTAGCAGGGTTAATAGTAAAGGACATCCTGTTTGATTCACAGCCACAGAAAATACCAGTAACCCAC